AAAGTGCAATCACAAAATCAACATTACAACTCATCTATAAGTTAGTATTAGGAGTAGATGTAGATAAATATAAATTCAATGACTTTCATTAGACCACACAACCAGTAAGTGAAACAAGTGGAGTTTGGCCCCAAGACTCCGTTATTCAAAGTCATAAACTGTAAATTCCAAAATTAGATATTTTTAAAAGAAAACCATTTATACTGGGGTTTAATTTCACAGTAAAAGTTTGTTAAGTTTGTGATATTTACATGCCTTTATGAGGTAACAGGTTTTTACACACTGAAATTTCCTTTTATTTATGATTCATTAACTTACTTAAAGTAATAATTCATATAATTACCAAAACCAATAAAAAGGAAGGAGAGTAGCCTGCAATTATGGACAATTCAGGTTCCATATGTGATCTACATTTATATTGCTCAGATTTTTAATGTTTGATAAAATTTTAAAATAAGGCTTAACAATTGATATGCAACAATAAAACTATTACTCCCTTTCCACTATCCAGAAGATCACAGTGGCCTGGATTTTCTTAGTTATTTCTATCATTTCTATCTTCATTTTAAAAAATCTTTGTGGAAAAAAAATAGTCATGATTTTTTTTTAACCAAAGCAACTTTCATCTGGATGCAAAGGAAAATCTTTGAAATGCATTTTTCTTAGTACTGTAGGTAAATCACAAAGAAGCAATGTCAAGGGTTATATACTTCAAAGCTTTCATAGCTATGACAAATAGCTGAAATTGTAACTTATTATTCTGTGCTCAAATTTGGCAGCCTTGGATCTTTTCCTGATAAACAATAATTTATGTCACAACTTCTCAGCACATACTATAATTAGGCACAATTATGTGCACTCAGTTTATATGCTAGAGAGTCCTATTGCATAATTAATTTTGAAGCAGCACAGAGATCAAGTTGATTATTCCCACAGAAGCTCATTTAGGAGTGAGTACAGTTATTATAAAGCCATGGTTTGGTGGGTCCAATTTACACACAGCCTTGATCTATGAGCAGCTACCTATAGTGTAATTCTTAGAAGTGCATCATTAGAGGTGTCATCCGTGGGATAATTGAAAATGTTGTACCAGAAGTAACAGATTTGCTTAAAAGGGATTTCTGCTACAATAGAAACTAGAAGACAGGAAACTAAATGTTTTTCCAAGAAAACTAATCCAATCAGCCCATTCTTGTTAAGCAGAAAACAAAAAAAAGCATCAAGCTTCCTCAAATTAAATAGTCTTCAAAAGTGACAGTAAATAGGAAAGTTTTCTGCAAATGAACATTTACTAAGGGCAGCATTAACCATCGAACATTTTACTGCTGAAGATTTTACATATTATGAGTGTTACTCATTCCAGCTCCCACTCAAGTAAGCTGAGTTTCCAGAGAAAAGCATCTTCCTTTTTGGTTAGAGGTTATCTTCTAACACATGAGCCAATTCTAATGTATTCTCTTCAATACCAAATGTCACTGCCTGTTAGTCTATCTTTAATGCAATTAACTCTCTAATATCATTTAATCAATTAATATAAATTAGAAAGAGGATATTTACTGAAAAGAAAAGCCTCTTGCCTCCTATCTAGAAAATCAGGGACAGACTATTCCCCCACATTTGTCCCTGGGTAGAGTGGATTCACAATTAAAATTATTGCTACAAAGCACTGTCCCCACTCAATTTACATCTGAATGTGGTATGTGTTGAAGGTAAAGTTGTCGCTGCTACCCTTTGTGTTGAGGGAGTCTCTGAAGGGAAGGAGTCTGCAAATTGTCACATTCTTGCTCTTCCCAGGAGGAACTGAGATGCAAAGGTCCAACCTCTCCTGCTGAGGTGGTCCTATCTGAATTGTCTTAAAGTTACCTATAAAAACCATCCCTACCTTGAAGCCATTGCTGATATTCAGTGATTAGTCTGTTGAGGTGTGGCTACCTTGATTACTTATAATAAATCCTTTTAATTCTCTTTGTCCTGAATTTTGCCTCCTTAATCTGGGTGAAAGCTCAAATGAAGAATTTCACTTTCAACATATACAAGAGCAAAGTTGCCCCTTGCTTGAAGAAGCTAGGGCCTGGCTGTTGATCCACTGCTGGGCTGGGTCAAGTGAGTTGTTTAGACCTCATGCCTAATCTCAGTTAACTGCCAACAAATTGTTACATAGACTCCAAATCCTATACTCCTGTTACTTTTCCAAACTTTTGATGTTCATGAAGTTCCAATTTATTCTAATCTTTCTCCAATACCGCATCAAAGAAAGAAAGTATAGATATATACAACAGGGATAGAAGCAACAGCTGGAAGATGTGCTCATAACTGTCCCCAGCCAGTGGTTTATATCAATTAGCTCTTCTTCCCTCCAAGGGAGGAGAAAGATGAATTGCTCCTGTCAAAGAATGCCTTATGCACACCCATTTCTGGCTGGGCAGCTATACAAAAAGTCATAGAAAATGTGAAATGGAAACAACAGTGTTAGCAAACAGTGCATAGAAAATACACCTTATGACCCTTTTGCCTTGCCATAGTAGGACATATAACCATATTTGCCCTGAAGCTGAACCCACCTCTGTGTCTTGTGTACCCAAATTATTAAACTATAACCTCCTTACAGAGCCAAATAGAGCAGGCTAGAGGCAAGAGAGTCAGTAATCAAAGAGAAGTTTATTTCAAAGTAAGGGAAATTGCTTGTAAGCGAGGAAAGGTGCTGGAGCCCCACCCCTAGTGGGGAGATTTCAATACTTATACCAGTGGCTACTGCAGTGAGCCCTGACAATGAGGAGTGATAGCAACAGTGAGACAAGTTTGGTTCATAGCAGGGCTTCATGACTCAAACATGTCCATTACACCTGGTGCTTTTCAAAGCAATAAAATAATTATATGATTTTGCCAGAGTATGAAATTATTCAAACGGTGAGTGAAACAGGATGTCTTCCAATATCTTCACAAGACACATACATATATACACATACATATATATAATGTATATAACATATATGTGTGTGTGTGTGTGTGTGTGTGTGGTTAGAGAGAGCTGGGAATGCCACCACAAGTCTCTAAAACTGAATTTATTAATAATAATGGGCTCTCTTTTTTGGATCTCTAAAAGCAACAACCCTTGGATAAATTAGATTTAAGTGTTACCAGTAGCAACTATAAACTCAATTTGTTTCAAATATGCACTGAAGCTAAATCAGAATGTGGTAGTAAGTGTGCTTCCCTATTAGGGTAACTGTGGTAAATTAATACCTGAAACTGGGAATTGCCACTTTAAATTTTTGACAATGGGTTAACTGAAAATAGTAGACCATATGAAGTGTTTGAAATAAATAGGCCTTGTAAAGGATAATACTAAATAATTGAAATTGTTACTTTAACATTTCACATAATACCATTTGGGAACATAGATAGATTCAGGTGGAATTGAATTAATTCTGGTGATGATGAGGTCTAGAAGTTTTGGGGTGCTGGGACCCAGAGATCACAACACATGGGCCCTGCTTAAAAGAATTCAACCCAAATCTTCTTTCAGCCAGAGAAAAAGTTTATTAGAGATAGATCATACAGGCCAGACTCTTAAGGAATCTGAAAATTAGTGATGCCCATAAGCAGAATTAGGCATGAGAAAGTCTCAGCATTTAAATGGAGGCCAAGGTGGATCTTATATAAACTCAAGTAATTTTGGGTGACCCAAGGAGGGGCTGGGAAGAGGGTCTGGGGAGGGGAAGAGTTTAGGGAGAATTTGGATTGGAAAGTCTACTAGATTGAATAGACTATGGGAACAGATAATGAAGGGAAGTACAAAGAAGAGGTTTGAATGTGGTCTTGAAATAGAAAATGAAGCTGGGATGGGAATGTCAGGGAGGTTGAATAGGCATAGATAATAAAGGGAACCAGAAGGAAGAGGTTTGAAAACGGTCTGAATAAGATGAAAGATGGGACTAGGGCTTTTAAAGGGAGATAAGGAGAGTCAATAAGGAAAAGCCATAGGGTGGAATATAGCCTCAGGTAATCTTTTGAGACCGAGTGAGGTAAAAAAAAAAAAAAAGAAAGAAAAAAAGAAAAAAAAGTTTAAAGGTTTTCTGGGGCCCGTAGACAAATGGAAGCCAAATTCTTTTTGGGGCAAAGGGCAAAGGTCTCGGCTTGGGCCCATACCCCACCAGCAGACAATTATGATCAGTAAGACTTTATTTTGCTATTTGATATTAAGACAAAGTATTGGGGAAATGTATGGATCAGGAAATTTGTTAGCTGTGTAGTCTTAAGCCAAATTACCTCAGTTTACCAATTTGTTAACTATGAAAATAGTGCCCAACATAAATGTGATTAAAATATGGTTTAGAAAAATTAACTCTTTCTTGATTCTTTTGGGTTATAGATTTTATTGTTTAAAAAAGCTGATTTCAAATTTTTAAACTCTTTAGAAATAATTGTGGCTATACCCAATCTCCCAATTCTGTTACCCTTCACCTAGCCTAGCCCTCACCATGGCCCCCAGCCATTTCCCACACTTAATCCTAGCTAGGCTCCATTGTCCAGGTCCCAGGAGTCTTGTTCACCCCAGTTTACTGGCCACTCCCATTCAGATCTTCTTTAGACCCCTCCTTCAGTCACCCCAAACTACTTGGCCACTCTTAGATCCTTCCCACAGCCTTTCTGTATGTAAGGTGCATCTTGTCTCCATTAAGGTGCTCAGATTCCTAAAATCCAGCCACTGCTCTGATTTTTATAATCTAGACACTGCTGAGATTTTTACAATCTGGCCACTAGGTCACAGGTGCTCAGATTCCTTAAGAGTCTGGCCAATATGGTGGATCTCTAATAAATCTTATCTTTGGCTGCAAGAAGACTTGGGTCAAATTCTTTCAGGCAGGACCCGCGCATCGTCATCTCAGGGTTCCAGCCCCCCTAACCTCTACACCTCATCAATAGTTTTCTGGTATAGCAAGAACTTCTTGAAGTGTCTTCATCTGTGAAAATTGGATTAGGAAAATATTCATACTTACCAGCCTTGCTTGCCTTTTGTGATAGATGGGCAACTGAACACAGTGTCAATATTTTAAGACTTCAATATTTAGTCCCATGCTCAGGTATAGTGACTGAGAACTAGAAAGCACAAAAAGAAAAGATTCAATCCCTACCCATTGTACAACACTGCCCTGAGAATTTTCTGTAGCTTTGACTTCTTAGTCTCCTACAAGTGAAGTGAGACAAGCATTTGGTTACTGCTTACCTGCCATTTTCTGGATGGATTGCAGGACGCTCTTGTTCAGACAGAGTTTAGCCTGTTGCCCATATTATAACTCAGGCACTACATAAATGTAAACTATTGTAATCTGTGACCTTAAATGTTTCCTTATGTCATGCAAATTGAGAAATATTTTATTAATTTCCTTTATGAAAACTCTCAAAGATTTTTGCCTGGGGAAAATGGGTCACACCCTGTCAATACCTAACAAGTATTTTCTGATACCCTGAGATAAATTCTCTGCGATTCTGAGATAAAAACTAATGCCAAAAAAAAATGCATGTATAAGTCATACTACATGAATCACAATTCATAATAGGTATACAAGAGCCATGCGATGCTAATAAGATACATACATGATAATTTTCATGTTAACTTTCCTTTCCAAACATTTTGAACCTATGATGTAAACTGTGGCGGTACGAATGTAAAAGATACTGTCATTTTCTGAATATTGTATTTTGTTAGATTGCATTGATATTTAAGATTTGGTGTACTTGTTTAAGCTGTGATATATGTACAAAAAAGATATGTGGAACTCTGAAAGGAATGTATCCATTAAGGACAAACCTCTTTTGAAGAGAGTGGAACGGTCAGGTTGACTTAGTTTATCAGAATAATTCTGATAAAAATGGTTATTCTGATGGAAATTGCAGTGCTTGTTTGGTGCTTCTGGCTAGGTCTAGGAGAGAACAATTTCAATCCAGTTAGAGTAAAATCACACCTGGATAGATTGACCTTTAATTTAGAGGTAGGTATCCCTAAAGTAAATGTGGATTTATCCTTATCACAGAGCAGCCAGTACTGAAGAAAACTTTCTCTTTGAGGTTGCTAAGAGTTCACAATGGGCTGAGGGCAAAATTTTCAGATTACCCTGGGTTGACAACTGAAACTTAAGGGAATAACACATAAATTATTAAAATAACCTTAATTCATATTGTTAGTGAGGATAATTAGCCCTCCAGTATCTGACAGAATCCCATCAGGATATGAAGTAGAGAAAGAGCTTTGGGAACTGGAGATCAGACTAAGAAGTGAAATCATAATAAGAGTTTTGGAAAAACTAGAAAGGAAAGAAGACATGGATATGCAGAGGTTCTGGGAAGAACTAAACAATAAAAGAGAGAAGCCACTGGGGCATATAGGTACTTCCAATGTATGAAATTCTGAGATGAGATAGATTTCCAGGTGAAGAGTTTTAAATGGCATGATAGAAAAAAATCTAGGCAATCAGGAATGCAAAATGGATAGGAATGAAAACCAGTGAACTCTAATGTCACTTCCAATTGACCACTTTTAAAATGCTTTAGTAGAACTATAACTCCTCTTATCTTGGCCAAAGTCTTCTCTTCTTCAGGCTACAGTATTTCAGTTACTTTAAGTGATCCTCATGTGATGTAGACTCAGCTATTCTGGTTGCCTTTCTCTGAAGGCTTTCTAATTTTTCAATGCCGTTATTAAACTGAAGCCCAGAATTGAACATAATAACAAAGCTGTACTCTTACAAGATCAGAATACAAAAGGTCTATCATTTTTGCTACTCCCTAGAAACTATGCCACTCTTAATACAACTCAAGATCTAATTTTCCTTTTTATCTACAACATCACACTGTTGACTCATATTGAGAATTCAGTCTACTAGTATCCCCTGTCATTTTTTTCCCAGACAAACTGCTATTTAGCCCTTCTTCCCGTACCCTTTAGATATTAATTTTATTCTTTTGAATCTCCATGTAAACTTTACTTTATCTCTATTGAGTTTTATATTTTTTAATTTAACCCACTGCTTTAGTTCCAAGGGAAGATTTGTATGATAAAGGCCTGGAAACCACTTGTCATAATGGCATTGATCTTTTACTATCAATATTCTTATGACCTCTTATAGAATCAGTCAAATTTTTATGTCTCAGATTACATTATAATTGATATCTTCCATACTATTCCTTACATTTATTTCTATTTCAAGTTTTAATTAACATTTTAATGCCATTAATGAGAAGAAATACTTTATAAATTCCTCCTAATTTTTGTGTGTATCTTTAGGAAGGAGAAATTTTTGCATATTCCCATTACTTATATTTTTAAAAGCATATTTTATTGATTTTTGTTATAATTTCTTATAATTATTCTTGATGCATATAATCCTATCTTTCAAAATAGAAAAAAAAATTATTTAACATCATCAATCAATTAAGAAGCATGTCTTACTAAGCATCAGAGATACAAAGAATGAGGAAATACATCATATTTAACATTCTTAGTTTATTAGTCCTCTAGCCAAAAGATGTCAGAGACTTTTATCTTTTCTGGAATTTTTTTTTCTCTCCATTCACTTGATCTTATGTTTTTTAGTTTTGCTTTTGTTACTGAATATCCTTCTCTTGGCTCCAATTTTTTGTTTTCTCTTTTCACATCTATTTACATACGTCTTTTCATTTTTCACTGACTTGTTCATTTTGTTCATTTCTTATGATATTGTAATATTCTATAATATCATAATTTGTGAAACCATTCACAAAGTAACGGGGCCTCCTTTGTTTATTTGAAAACAATTTGCATAGCTCTGAATACATAGAACTTTTGTTTCATCTGTTTTTTTTTTGTGTTTGTTCTTCATTCTCCAAGAGGACCACGACATTAAGGAAATGATGACATGACTTGCAATTGACTTTAATTTGAGTGAGGGAGGTCTGTGCAAGGTCACCAGCCTCACTTTTTCCTCCAGAGCCATCTGAGTCCAGTGGCCAGATGTTCATCAGGATGACTGGAGATGGCCCAGGATGCAATGGGAGATCCTGGCCCTTTTGAGCTAAGTCTTTTCAATTTATCACTTTGAATGAGGTAATGCCCATTCAATGAATACACCTCTTTAAGAAGTGAGTCAAGGGATGGTCCCTTTAAAAAAAAAATCAGACTGGGAGGAGAAGACCCTCAGGTTTCCTGGCCAAAAAAGAAACAGTTACTATTTATATTCACTCTGAGAAAGGAGGGCACACAAATTAACCAAGAAGTGTTGCTTGGCCAGGGACCTATTGTTATCTAATCTATGAGCTCCAGAGTGAATTGGGTTTAAGGCTTAGTCTTCAATAAAGATATTTAGCAGTAAAACAAGAGTGGAAAAAGAAAAGAACAGGGAAAGGGAGAAGGAAAGGGAGAGTGGGTGAGGCAAGAGGAGGGGAGCTGAGTTACCTGACTGGAATTGCCATCTGGGTCCTTATTCAGGCAGCTGGGACTACTCACAAGTTTTGTTTGTCCTTCCTTCTCGAAGAAGATTATGACATCAGGGAGATAATGACATGACTTGCAATTGATTTTGATTTGAGTCAGGGAGGGTTGTGCAAGGTCACCAGCCTCACTTTCTCCTCCAGAGGCCTCTGGATCCAGTGGCCAGATGTTCATCAGGATGATTGGAGATGGCCCAGGATGCAATAGGAGATCCTGGCCCTTATAGCTAAGGTCTTTTCGGATTCTTTCTGAGATCAAAGTCCCAGTAATGGCATAACTGGATAAAAAATTATATGAAAGTTTAGCTTTTCTGGTATAACTAGAAATTTATTTCCAGAATGGTTGTAATACTTGAAATTTTAACCAAGAGTATCCTAGTCTCCCTGTCTTCTTGCAGCCCCTCCAGAATGGACTTCCCTCTGTTGTCATCTTTATCAATGACATAGATTTTTGTTTAGTTTGTTTTGTTAAAGAGCACTTAAAAATGTTATAAATCATATTGTTAATAGAGTGTTCAGTCTGAGTTGAGAAAGACTTGGGTTCACTTCCAAAAATGCTATGTAACAATTTAACATGCTATCTGAGTGGTCATAGGCAAGACCCTTTTTTTTTTCTCCTAAGAAAATGTTAGAGGCAGGACTCAAAGCCAGTTATTGTAAGTCTACTTCTAATACTATTGAATGAATAGATGGGTAAATGAATATTATATATGTTTTCAAAATGAATGGGACATAACCCTTGTGAAGACTTCTCAGGGTGTCTTGAAGTCAGCCTTTAAAACTATCCCTTCTGATTGTTACACTCTGGCCATAGCAGCACTAGGTTTGCTAAGTAAGGAAACTAGAGAGGACGAACAGGCTATAGGTTAAAGTATGCTAAACTCTGTTTCTTTTCACCCCTTAGAATATAAGCCCCACCCCCAGTTAAGGGGATAGGGAAAACTATTGTACCCTTTAGAATGTAAGCCCTGCCCCCAGTTAAGGGGGTAGGGGATAGTGGTGAGTGGAAACTCATTTGCCTGATGGGTGGAGATTTGTTTTTCAAGGCGGCCCCTGTTACCCGGGTTGCTCTCTCTCTCCATGTGTATCGAAGGAGCAAACAGCCATCTTGGGAGATTGTAATAAAGGTAACCTTTGCTTTCCACCTTGAGAAGTCTCTGAGTTAAATTTTGGGTTGGGGCACTGTCCCACACAAAACTATCATTTCATGTGGATAAATAAACCTATGTAAATTTACAATAGACTTCCCTGTGGAGTTTCCTAATGCTGTAGAAACTACAGTGAAGAAAGTATAACAAGAGGGAATTACATGAAAGTAAATGAAAGCTGGCTGAGGACAGGGATCTAAAGCTCTTTTGAAAAAGGCATGTTATTTATTTAATTTTTACAAATTTTATGTATTTTATAATGTGACCCTACCACTGGCCCCCGATTCAACAAACAAAAAACCCCTAAATATATGTAGCCCAGATATTCAAATCCCACATTAGGCATAACTGAAAATATACATCTCTTTCTGCATCTAAGATTTAGGAGCAAGTCATTTAATCTCTCTTAACTTAAATTTACTCATCTTTAAAATGTAAAGGAGCATAGACTGGATTACATCTAAATCCCCCTTCAGATCTAGATCT